ATATTCCTCAGAGTTATTTATAGGGTTGGTTTAACATTTTCATAAATGACTTGGATATTGGATCAGTATCCATCCTCATCACATTCAAGGTATGGCTGCCCCATCCCTGGAGGTGTTCAAGGCCAGGCTGGGTGGAGCTCTGAGCAACCTGGTCTAGTGAAAGGTGTCCCTGACAGGAGGTTGGAACTAGATAATCTTTAAGGTCCTTTCCAACCCAAACTATTCTATGATTCTATGGCACTGAGTTGGAGAAAGCAGTCCTTAGGTTGGGAGGTAGGGCTGCTGTTCAGAAGGACCTTGACAAGCTAGAGGGATGGGCTGACTAAAAGCTCATGAAGTTCAGGAAAAGAAAATGTGAAGTCATTCATCTGGGCTGTATTAAGGCTGTGTTGTGATGTCTCTGTACAGCTGGGGACTGATTGGCAATGTAGTAGTGTGCTGTGTATGCAATGACAAGCTGATCATGAGGCAACAGTGTGCTCTTGTGGCAGTGAAGGCTCACAGCACTGACGGCTATGTTAGACAGAATAGAGTCCACAGCTCACAGAAGAGAGGATTCCCTTCCCATCCTTGCAGTGCCACGTCCATTTATTCTGTTTTCAGGTGCTCAGTACAAGAAAGAGTCACAAGCCAGAGGGAGAGTACTTACAATGAAAGGCAGATGGAATTATCACCTCACTTATTTTGTCATTTTGTTTGTACATTTTTGAACAAGTGCCAATGACACAATTCATTCAGATTTAAAAAAAAATTGCCTTTTTTCTGACTATATTCAGAAAGCAAAAATGCGTCAAGAAAAATCAATAGAGGCTTCCAGATCCAAATCAAGGATTCAAAATGGAGCTGTGTATTCTGCTGATGTTAAGGGCCTCAATACAACAGTAAGTCCCCAGTGACACTGTTTTATTTCCATTAATATGAAAGTGGTTTGGGGTTTACTCTGGCTGCATATGTGATGCTACTTATGCTTTCTTTAATAATGTTTATGTTGACAAGCTCCAAGTATATAAGAAAGAACCTGTATTGTCTGCAAACCACCACTTCCCATTCTGACATATCCTCAGACAAGTAGTTGGTCAGAATGAGATTCAGATCTGCAAATTAATCCTAAAAAGTGTGGGCAGGATGGTCTCTCTGCTAATTGACATGTACCTCTTGTGAGACAGCAGTTCATGAAAACCTTGCTGAGGTCAAGACCTCCTTCATTTATTGCTGGGTCAACCTGTGCAATCTCTTATACATCTGTAGAGGTGTCCTTTGTCAGTAATGTGTTCCTGATTATCTGCAGGTAAGCATCTCCAGAAAAGATTAAGTTTTTTCTCATTTCCATCAGTTAATTGAAGTGTGAGAAAATAAAAGCCATTGTTGAGATCTTACTCACACCTCTTAAGAGCATATTTAGATGTTGAGTTTTGACAAGATGGTGTAAGGCATGGAAAAATCTCCATTCCAGTCAATAACTGGTTTTGAGCGAGCTGGATTATTTCTGTGTAAGCATCACAGCTATGGAGGATTCAGGGGAAGAGATAATTTCTTGATTGCTTGTAAGTTACTCTTACAGGTAAGGAGAAACAAAGAATAAACATGAGGTGCTGTTTTCAAACTTGAATGAAGGCAAGAGATGCTACTACCATGGGCTGTCTGGCATGAAGGAATGATGACAACTACAGTAGCTGCAACCTGAAAAAGAAAAGAGGCAGTTCGTGTTTGATGTGATAAAGAAGAGAGGAACTTAATAGGAAGCAAGGGGATTGTCTCAGAGTGCTGCACTATCAAATTGTCTTTGTCCTAAACTTCTGAGAGATATGGCAGGAAGGATCTGTGAATGCAAAATGAAGTAGTTACTTGTATATACATCAGTGAGACCATTAAGCAGCAATATTTTGCAGAAAGTACATGAAAAAATTAAATATAAACATGAGTAATCTGGAAATTGTTAGTAGAGAGAAATATATTGTTAGATTTTTATTTTAGATGCTTGAACCTCAAGCCAAGATATATCATCTCTTGAAGGGAGAGGATTTAACAAGAAAAGATGCCCATGGTTCTATAATCAATATTTCAATAATGGTAGATAAAAACAAGGAAAAGGTTAGTCCATTTTGCAGAATAAGTGTATTGACAAAATGAACACATCATCAACATGAGATAAAATTCCTTGGATACATTGCTTAAAAGAATTACAAATATGGCTGGAAATTTTTTCATGCAACAATCTTCTTCCCTCCTCTCTGCTAAACACCCTTAGTAGGGAGAGATGAAGATTAAGCTAAGATGGTTGTTGCAAACGAGTCAAGGTCAGGTAATCAAACTTGTGAGCCACATGCACTCAGAGAGTTGCAATTTTTGTTTTATAGAAGACAGAGCTGTCCCTCAGGGATTTTTATTCAAAGACCTGAACCTATTCAGTATTAAGAGTAGCAATGAGACTGGAAAGGGTATGTCTCTTTCAGTCTTGGAGTTTTCCTGGAGCAGTAGTGATAGGCAATTGCATTCTGAGAGAAAGAGGGTCTGTTCCTTTTTTTCCTTTGAAGCATTAATGTCTAGTGATGTTCTGAGGACAAAAACTGTGGCTGATATTCTATATGAATCCAAATAACATTGCACAGCAAACTTGTCTGGTAAGATAGGTTTGATTTTCTTTTTTTCAATTTGTAGGATCAAACATGAAAGCAGAAAAGCAGGAGACATAAAAGTACCTGCTGAAAAACCAGTCTCTCTTTTCCTTTGTATTGATGAAAACAAATTGTGAATTTAGTATAAAGGATAGTTTGAGTGGGCCTCAGAAACCTCATCTTGCTTCTCCACCAGCTGGATAATATTTTTGAAAGACATTTACTAATGTTAACTGTCATCTCATATTAAATACTAACATGAAATTCAAGCAATATATTTATTCTGTTTTTCAGATTGGACCTGGTCGCTTAGTAATTGTCAAGAGTACACCTCGTAAATTAATTGGAGAGCCACTGACCATTACAGACCTTCCCCTCAGAAAGCCCTCTGTTTGTGAAGGAGCCTCAAAAAACATCAAAAGAGATAAATCATTGGTCTCAGTCAATAAAAAATCATGACCTGTAGAGTAGATAGTGTTCAGCATGGTGCTTTTAATATTAGTATATAATTGCCTCGTAAGTAGATACAAGATAAAATCTGTAATGCTCTGATAAATTGCTTAGAACATCTTGAGAGCAAAATTGTATTTTGCCTTAATTAATATGAAGATATTTTATTAATAATGTACCCCATACAGTATGGTGCAAAGTCTAATAACTTTATGTGCTAATATCCACTATCAGTAGGTCCATTATTTAGATTTCCATCTCTTGCTGACACATTCCACACATTGCAGTTTCAGTATCTCATTGACCAGGGTGATAAACCTTCACAGAAACACAGTTCATTTCTTCGTTTTCCCGGATACCATTTCCACTTGGGATTTGTCCAAGTGCATTTTGTTTCTTACATTGCCACCTTTAGCATCAAGACTTCTGAGATCTACTTCTCTCAGTTTTCACCTAAACACGAAGAACTTCATTTGTGTCTCTGAGCATGTTGGAGGGACATGCTGGACTGTCCTGCTCCATATGGGTTGCTCACAGCTCCTTAACTGATTTTACTAATCTAATCTGTTGGGTTCTTACTCATATTGTCTCCAAAAAGAATTCATCCTCTTCCACGCTTGCACCTCGAGAATACAAACACAAACTGGTGAGCAGCAGGATGAAGCTTTTAAAAATGTGTAGGATACTTTGTTCTGGCATTCAACTAAAAGACCGCTAATATAGGAAACTTTAAAATGTTGTTATACTTTGACACCTCTGTATGCATTTATTCAATCTGTTTCCTGATGAATACAATTATTTGTAGGTGCAAATGAGGGGAATTTATTTATCTGATTTATGACAGCCCCAACATTTGTTGCTGCAACAGGTGAGATGACGGCTCTCAAATCGTAACGTATCCATTCCAGAAACTGCTGGCTTTGGAGGTGTCATGACTCCCTCTGTTTGCTCAAAAGAAAAGCTGTATTTAAAATATTATTTGTATCAGGAACTTAGAGTGATATTCATGGGTAAGAGAAATCTGTCACTACTTTTGTACCCTGCCTAGAATACTGTAAGAGACATATTTTACAAGATGCAGTTCAATATCATATTTATGTAAATGAACATTTACAAATCTATGAGACTTGTTGGATATATATGAACTATATATGATCTGGGTATTATGTGGGATGAATTTCTTGTTACTTATGAAGCTTTATATTCTGTTACTGTGTAAGTACTGTTTCCTACGATAATTAAACCCAGCTGGAATCTCATAAAAGCCTGGAACACAACAGGGACTGAACAAACTGCATTGCCCAAGGAGTAAAGTAGAGAACAGTCAGCATTTTTTGAATGTTTCCATTTTTTTCTCAGGCTTTTTGTGCTCAGGAGAACTGGATAAACTGGACTGTTAATCTCCCAGAACTATTTTATCCATACTGGATGGTTTATATCAGGAGCAGTAGTAACGTCAGTCTCTCACTTTTTCAAGCCACTTGATGCATGGGTCTCTTCTCAACTGTTATGACAGGGATGGAGTCTTATCACCTTATTTGCAGTTTTGTATAAAGCACTGTTCTTACTGATATGTAGTAGTGGTTTGGTGAATAACATATTAATAGACTGCTATTCAGACTTTGCTGCTTAGAAAAATACTTTAATCCATAGCCTAAACTAAGCAATGATAAAATACAAAGTTTAGACTTCACAGGACATTACAATGAGCATAATCCTTCCCTTTAGCTTGATGTCACACCTTATTTTTTTATTTTTTATTGCAATTCTTAAAAGTAAAAGTAATAGTATGTGCAAGACACTGTATAAAATACGCTTGTTGACATTTTCTCCATTGCTTAATGTATAAAAATATATTGGGTTTCCATCAAAATTAACTTTTAAAAAAGAGAATTATTGGAAAAGATGAGACCCTACAAAAATATGGCACTGGTTCAGACTTACAGGCTTACCTGAGAGAACAAAGGTGTTGACTTAAAACACAAAAGCATTCACACATGCAGTGGGGAAAAGGCAAATTTGGTAGATTGCAAGACAGGGAAGCAAAAGTGACAAAGTAGGGGCTCATGTACTTATCAGTTTAGCAGTGATTAAGTACTTTATACAAAGAAAAAACCCAAAATATCGAACCATGCCAAAGGATTTGTCTAAGCATCTACAATATATGCTGTGCTTTTGTGCTCCATTTTGATGTTGCTTTGCTGAGGTATCTTCATTTTCTCCCCTTTTGGTCTAAAATGGTTTGGTGAAAGCAGACCCTGCAAGATCATGAAAGAAAAGTAGTTATTGTCCAAGCAATACATTAGGAATTCTGGGTTTAAATAATCTCTATGTTCAGTCTGAAAATCTAAATCATCTGACTTGGTACATCAGATAAAAAGTCTGCTGCTGAGGAGGAAGTGAAACAACAGATCTAGGATTGGTTAGTAAGATGTAAAGCCAGTCAGCTACAGGATCTCAGTTCAGACTCACCCCAGAACATGATGACCAGAATCTGTCACCATTTAATGATTCACCAGTGACCATGAGATCACATTATGTGTCAGTAGTTTTACTGAGAATAATAGGGTTCAAATTGTCAGGGATTTGAACTTCCCTTCTCACAGAGAGATGATTCCCCTGAAACTGAGACTGAAGCCCAAATATCAGGAAACTTTTAGTGTTGTAATTATTGTATTAATGTATTGTAATGTATATGCACATGGTGATGAACAAAGAATGCAGCATCCATTTCCACACATTCCCACATGTTAGTACACAACAGACTAACACCACATCCTATAGTTACCTTCTAAAGTTCTATGTGAGTATGTGGAAGAATATTTGGGAGATGTTAATTGTCTTCTGCCCATTCCATGGGATCTTGATAGCACACAGTCTACATACATACCCCAGAAGTTCTGAGCTAAATCATTGAAGAGTTCATTGTGTCTGGGCTTAGGGGATTCCTTTAGGAACATCATGAAGTCCCAGAGAGCAATGACTGTATCTGCTACCTTGATTTTCTTCATTTCCACCAGCCCGTGGGACGATACCTCCCAGCACTGATGGTCAATCTCACCCAGGCTTGGAGGAGTTTCTTTTTGATAGTCTAGATTGCCATACACCAAATTCAGTAACAATATACAGCCCAGCTGAAGATACCACCTTTGTTTCCACACAAGTTCCATACTTCAAGAAGAAACCTGAAAGAAGTGCATAAAATCACAGTGATTCTGCCATTATATAGTTCATGCTCACATAGCTTTCAAGAGTACCCCAAGAGATGATTTATGCATATATACAGAAAAATACCTTTTTTTTTCAAAATATGGAATAAATACAAGTCAACAAACTCTAACACTGGAGCTAGATTTGCACCTAGAAATTTTTAATGCTGTTTAGAACACAAAAGCCTGAAACAAAAAGTTTGAAGTGACCATAGCCTATGTCAGACCTGCTCCTTGAGATCAAGACTTCTTCCCTTAGACTCCTGTGCTTAGATCATCAGTAAAAGCAGGTTAATAGTAGATGCTTAAAGAATCCTAGTAATATAATACTTTAAATTATTGTAAACAAGTAACAGAGTTATAACTAGCCAGTCTTTCATGGAAAAATCCAATTCAGAAAGATAGTCATAAAGGAATGGTAAACCAGACCATATACTGTATTGGGTGAGCCATAGGCATGTTATGAACTCATTGAGTAGCTTTTGCAAGACTGGAAAAAGGCAAATTTCATTTTGGCTTATGTTAGAAAATTAAGTAAACTTTTGGCACAATTATTTCTAGCATATGTACAAAACACAGAAACTATCTGGAGAATTTGAGATGGCAAGAGCAATAACACAGGAGGCATAATGAGAACTTCAAATGCTACAGAATATGTACTCATTATTATACATGGATACCCTCTGGGAAAAATGAAGTTTTCCTATGAAGTGTATTCCATATCCTTGAAGCAAGTTTAGACCAGAACACCACTAAAACACCTGATTTTTTTATCAGTCCTTCCTATCATGATAAAGTGCAGTGGAACAGGAGAATAAGCATAAAGAGGAAAACAAACAAAAAAAAAAAGGACAAGTGAGCATAAGAAGTCTGAAGAAAAAGAAGACAGTCAAGACTCTCAGATAGTGCCCCTTATTTTGGTGCCCTAAATCAGTTCTATGTCAAATAGTTGATGCCATGCTCATTCCCACAGTTTCCAGTTCAGAATGTAAAACACAATTACAAAATTATGTGAGGTTTTGTGTAGATAAAAGGCAACATCTGGGGCAACTGTGCAAATTTTACTGTGATCTTGGCCAGAATTGCAAGTGTGCTCTCCCACTCAGGATATTTCTGGGCACTGTCAGTATGAAAAGTTAGTCAATGATGTCTTCAAAGTGTTATCACACTGATGTCCTTTCTGAAACTCCTAGTGATGCAATTAAAGAGAGGATAATCCATAGATAATACAACATTTTTGTGAACTGTCTGTAAGAACACAGAGTTGAGGTAACACCATGAAGTTCACATTCATACCAAGCTGGGTCAGGAAACAGGGCAACTAGAAATAGGCCTGTTTTGATGTGGCCTCAGGGTCCTGGGATAGTTTTTAGTTTAAATGTGTAATCACACTGTTGCAGGCATCTGAGGTCCCTAAAGTCACGTGTTCCTTTACCTCAGCTTCAGAACCCAAGGAACTGAGACAGACAAACACCTCCCAACCTAGCTCCTTTCTAAAACTTCCCTGGCCAGCTACAGCAGGCAGCAGGTTTACCTGCCCTAGCATCCCAAGAGTGTATCAATATGTATTAAAGTTTCTCTTCCTTGGGCTGTTAGAAAACTGGTTCCAGCAAAAAAAGTAGGATGGAAGTGCTTCTCTCCTCACTTCTACTGCACTAGGTACCAGCATTCAGAGGAAGGTCACACTGGCAATTTAGCTACAGAGTAGCAGCCAATAAGCCACCAACATTTTGAGTTGGTTTGATTTTATGTTTACATCCAGCTAAAAGCTAAAATCCTAAGAGTCTACTTTAACACCTCAAACAGGAGCAGAGACCACAACAAGCCTCACAGATACTCTGAACTAGTAACTCCTACTATTCAGTACAAGACAGATGAACATCACAAAGGCAGTAACTAAAGAGCCATATCAGAAGTTGTACTTACAGTGCTTCTCTGAGGAGATGGAAAACAGTAGCCTTGAAACAACAGAAGTCACTGGAGAAGGCCAGTTGGAGAAAAAGAAGGAAATTCATGAGAGGGCTGCAAGTGCCCAGCAGTTGTTGGATGCTCCGAGGATGCCGGGATGACACTGCTCAGGGATGACTCGGCCACTGGCAAAGCAGCAGCAGCAGCAGCAGCTTAACTCAGGTTGGTGGGAAGGGTGGAGGCAGCTGAGGCTGTGGCAGCCCCACCTCTTTCTGCAGCAGGCACCCAGTGTCAGCCCAGGCTGGGCTGGGGCCCCATCTGCAGAGCCTGCCTTCGTGGGGGGGGTGTGGATGGCTTGGGTGAGGGAAGGGGAGACACAGAGGGCTGTCAGAGGGAAGAAAACACAATGGATAGAAAATCTTTCTCCAAGTCAGAAACATGAACACTTTCATTGTATACACTCCCATTTTAGAAACCTAGGTTTCCATTTGCAGTCCTGTCTGCCCACCAGAACATGCAGAAACAATATAAATAATGGAAAAGGACAGATAGGTAGTAAAATTGCATCTGTTAGGGTTTCACAACATGCTTTGGTAGAGCTCAACATGACAGGAACAGTCTGTTCTTTCAAGTGGAAATATAATAATTTCTGCCTTAAAAACAAAATATGCAATACTTGAAGGCAAATACTAACTTGCTCTGAAATGACAGTGTTCAGAATAGCTAGGTATCTTCTGGAAGCCTTTCCAGCTAAGCAATGCCAACATTGTTTCAAAATCTTGCTTCAAACTGTAAGCCATGTTTGAACCTACACAGCTATATGGAAGAAAGTATCTGGAAGACAGGAATATAGCTAGCTTATCTCTGAACCCTGTGAATCATTGCTAAAGCTCTATTAGATCAATTACTCCCTGAAATTCTAAGGCAGTGCTCATAACCAAGGAGATTAGAGTCAGGAAGGCTGTACAAAGAACCTACCTTTAAGAAAGCCCCTTCACATCATTAATAAAAAATAGCATTCAGTAAGTTTTCAAGTTAAGAAAACCTTGGCCCTTTTCGTTTGCTTTGTGCACTATTGAATTTATTAGTGTGATCAATCTCACAGTGAAATGGCCAAAATTTCAAAGGCATGTAAAGAAGTGAGCAGTTGCACAGCTGCTAGGGTACAGCATCAAGTCCTTCATCTCATTTCATTCCTCCTTAAAACATCTTGGTGTAGTAGCACAGGATACTGGTGCCAAACTTGGGTGAAATAAAATGTTTCCCTCAAAATTCTTCCAGCATCAATAGGTTTTTTTATAGCATATGCTTTAAACTGTTGTACTTCAGCTTATTCCTTTCATTGTTGCAGCTGAGGGGCCTCTATCTAGTGGGACTTTATCGTACCAAAGAGTGTATCCCTGGCATCAGTTCAATCTCTTTATCTTTTTTTCTGATAAAAATAAAATTAATACATCCATTTTTTAGAACATTTGGACCTTGGGTATGTTAGTTTAGCTAGTTATTTCGATTGCAAAGACCTTCAAGCCAGCTTCCCAGCATTGCAATGAGCCATTGAGTGCATGTTCAGAAAGGCAAGGAAAAAAAACCTGAGTTGCACTTTTTAGTTATTTCAACTCTACTTTAAAATAAAGTTGAGTTGCTAAAATATTTCCATTTAATTTCTATGTATTTCCATCATAGTTCTTTCCTAGGCTGAGAAAACCAGCACAAATTTCAAAAAAACTGCTGGTGGAAGTTTTAAAATTGTTGGAGAAAGAGACTTTATGTCTTCTTCATGTTATGATGACAGCACACTACCTAGTGATTTATACTATGAGAGAAAAAAACAGTGGTAAAACTGTGATTTGATGTTGCTGAACCCTTGTGATTTTCAAGCAATCTTATACAAGTATGTGAAGTACACAGTAAGAACAGAAAGAGCAGGAACTGAAGCATTATTTATCATGAAACACAGAAAATGCATTGACTATGTATAAATCAGTTTGGGGACATTTAAAATTCTATCAGCTTTGCTATGACTGAATTATAGATATCTCTGTGACACAGGCACACTTGTACGTAAACAGGATTGATTCACTGAAGATAAAGAATTGAGTCACCCCCTGCATCACTGATTAGCAGTTTCTGAAGTAAAGAACTAACAGTGGTGTTCTGTCATCAAGCTTGACTCTGAAGTGCTCACAGCTCTGTTACTGAAGATCAAGTACAGCACACTCACTAGTGACTGAACTGCCAACTCAAACCAGGAGAGAAAGGGGATAGAATCAGTGCTGCCCTGGCAAAACAGAGTCTCTTCAAGTGACCAGATACATTTTTGAAGCAAAGTATTTAGAAAATGTAACATCTAAATAGCCTCAAACTTCAAAATTTTAAATTATTCCATTTCAGTAATTCTTAGCATTATGTGTGTGATGCTAAGTGTGCATACTTACTGGTATAAAAGGTTCCAGAAAATGCACAATGGTACATTTCAAATTAAATGTTACTTAATTCCCTGCTAGTATGAGTTTTCTCTGTGTTGAAACAAATCTAGTCTTATGTCAATGAATTTAACCCCTTTAACTCATAACATATAGGAGATCAGCTTTTCTTTATTTCTCCTTTTTGAGGGTAAGATGTGGATTGATTACATTAGTTAAATTAACATTAGTGAGTAGCTCTGCTGGCATCTCTGGACCAGTCTACACATTAACCTGTTGTTGGATTTGACCTGCTGTGTGTTAAGGAAGTTCAGCACACTGAATTTAAGGCTTTGCTAAGTCAACCATCTACAGACAGAGTTGCTCTCAACAGTTCTAATGATTCCACAGGACTAAATTCAAACAGAATGTACCACAAAAGCAGAACAAAGCACAAAAACAAGGAGTGATTTGACACATACTTGTATGTATTCAAGGAGAGCTCAAGGCCTATGATTAGATCTTTGAAGAACTTTGTGATAAACTTTTTGCCATCTGCAACTTCCCTGTGCTTTCTTCATCTCACTTAAAAGTTCTTTTGCTTATCTCCTTTTTTTTCTGTTCTATTCTACAAAATGCTGACATCATATGCTTCACTGAAGTCACAGTGGCACAGCCTAACTTTTGCACATGTAAGGACTTCTGAACCTTGCCTGCTCTTCAGATCAGACTGACAAGTCCTTCCCATATTATGAATCATAAATGTGGACAAAATGTTCTGCTGCTTGTACTATGAATTGGCATGGTAACACAGAACAGGAAGGTCCCCCTGAATGACAGGGCCTAGTTCCCTGCCACTACAGAAAGCTCTGTTGTACAATCACCTCATACATTTACTAAGTACCATATTAAAAATAGGTACATTTTTTTCCCCTACTAATTTCATGGAAAAGCTGTTTCATAATTCATTTGCTGTACTGACTAGAAACATTCTTCTAATTTCCTGATATATTTATTACTGAATAGTACATATCTGTTTATTCTTGTGTCTTTGCCCTGCAAATTAAATGTTTTTCTGCCTTCATGTTTACTTGCCTGATATATTTATAGACAGCACTCGTATCTCTTCTCTGGTTTTGTTTTTTTGAAGTAAACAAGCTGAGCCATCCTAAAATCCATCCTCATCAAAGGCTCTCAAGCTCTCTAGTGATGCACCTAACCTGCCTCTGTCCCTTTCTGTTCAACCTCAACTCAGCTATAGAACAATCAATTAGAAGTTTTCACAGTACTCCAAATGAGATTCCACCAGGACCTTAAACAATAACACTAATGCCTCCCTACTTTAAATGAAATACATCTCCTGAGATACTCTCTTGTTGTGGTTTAACCCCAGCCAGCAACCAAGCCCCACAAAGCCACTCCACTCACTCCCCCACCAGCGGGATCAGAGCGAGAATTGGAAGGGTAAAAGGTAGAAAACACATAGGTTGAGACAGAGACAGTTTAATAAGGAAAGCAAAAGTCACACATGCAATCAAAGCAAAACAAGGGATTCATTCACTGCATCCCATGGGCAGGAGGTGTCCAGCCATCTCAGGGAGAGCAGGGCCCATCATGCATAATGGTGACTTGGCAAAACAAATGCCATCACTTCAAATGTTCCCCCCTTCCCTCTTCTTCCCCAGCTTTTATTACTGATCAGGATGTCATATGGTCTGGGATATCCCTGTGGTCAGGCGTGGTCAGCTGTTCCTGCTGTGTACCTTCCCAACAACTTGTGCACCCCCAACCCACTTGCTAGTGGGATGGGGCGAGGAGCAGAAAAGGCCTTGGCTCTCTGTAAGAACTGTTCAGCAATAGCTGAAACATCCCTATACTATCAACACTGTTTTCAGCACAAATCCAAACCACAGCCCCATACCAGCTACTGGTAGAAAATTAACTCTATCCCAGCCAAACCCAGCACATTTCTGTACTTTTCATGGTTCCTAAGTATATACCGTTTCCAGATTTCCTGAGTATGCTCTTATTGACTTTATCATGGCTACTACAAAATATATCAAATAAGAGCACCTAAACCCAACCCTTTAAGCCTGACATTTTCCTTTTCAGCTTTACTTGTGGCTATCTCACTTCACGATTTCTGCCCTAACCTCCATATTCTTGTTCTTCTTCAGGTGATGCCATATCAAATGTTTTATCAATAGGGTATTAATATGGCAAGTTTGAGTTTTTCCAAAGCTTCGCAGGTTTCAAGGTCTATGTTTGGTCTGTTATCTTCTTTTCAAAGACAAGCAATTACAGTCCAAGTGTAGTCCCTGAGTAAGGCACCATTGCTCTAACCATTTGTTGACCTGCCAGATTCATCCGGCCTTTTCGAGCCCCTCTCCTTTGACCTGGAGGATTGATGAAAAAAATTACTCGAGCTCCAGAGCCCTTTACTATCTCTCCCAAGGCTTTGTAGTCCCTTTTACTTAATGGTTCCCAGACTGCTGTCAGCTTATGATGCTTTTCCTTGCACTGTCTCCCACATGCAACACTAATAGTGAGTAATAATCAGCGGGTTTCACTAGGCTCTGCAGCTTCTCAGTAACATCCCTGATCCAGGCTCCTGGAAGACAACACACCTCCCTTGAAAGCAGGTCAGGTTGACAGATGAGTGTCTCTGTGCCACTTAAGTGCCCTTTAATGTCAGTGCTGAGTGTGTGTGGGATCTCTCCTAACACACACACCCTGGCTCCAAACGGGACAGTTTTGATTTTCACCAATCATGCATATACATTAGATTTCCAGGAACTTGTGTATATATGCTAATGATTTCCTAGAAATCATTACAATATCCCTGCCCTCCTTGCACCTGTGCAGTTAAT